CTGGAAAGCAGTACAGTATTATTTCTAACTGACAATCTCCCCGCAGATGATTTAGGATATATGTCTGCCAAGGTGTGGATTCAAGTATTAAGTATTATTCAATGTCAATTATGCTGTGATCATTTTGAAAGCTTTTTATATTCAATTTTATTCATTCTGTTTATGACTATAATATAATTAAGGACTTTTCTTTATTATGTTAAATGCATTATCAGTGCAGTGCTTTAGCTTAATAACTGTACTACGTATACAGGTTTAATTCTCCAAGATTTTGAGCCAAACCAGAATAAAGTGCATTATGTCTCCAAACTGGAAGAAAGACTTTTTTGGAATTCTTTTGAAGATAGTGCAAGAAAACATAGACAACTGCAGGATTATTTTTAATACTGCAGAAGAATTTGAAATATTTTTGTCACAATGCTATGGAAGCTGCAGTTGGAAATGAGGAGAGGGGATACTTCACCAGAGAACATTGTCTTACAGTTGAATAAATTCTAAATGTTTATTAAGATCTTTATATTCCAAAAGGAATATTATTGAATGACCCATTCCATCATTTGATCAAGCTGATGTCCAAAACTTATAATGTCCCCAGTATTGATTCCAAATTCCAAGAGATCCAGACATTTTCAGGGAGCCCATGGTGCTACCCTGAGCTGTGGAAGGACTGTGGAACTCTGCTCATCCACTGGAGTCCTCACATGTCCCAGCTCAGGGGCAGTCACCCTGCTCACTGCTCCTCTGTCAAGGAGAAGGACCCAGGGCAGGGCCCTCACATACCAGGGCTGGGGTGGACAGGGGACTCCCCAAGGGCCAGTGCCCCCAGGGGGGTACTTTCAGCCGGGGCTGCCGCATGGCGCCTCTGCAGGTCACTGCACCCCACTCTGTCTTAGTTTTTTCTGCTTCATGACTCTTCTAGCCCATTCATGGGCACCATGAGAAGTAGGCATGGATTATGCTAGCTCCACTGTAGCCTGCAGGTGGCCTCACTGTCACTCAGCAAGGAGACTAGAAAGGGCTCCATGGAGGTGGAGAGCCAGGTTCCATCCTCAAGATGTCACCCTGGGCCGGCTGCCAGCACCCTCTGACCCATCTTTCCTTGGGTGCTAAGCAGGTGAGAACTGAGCTCTCACCTTCCTCCTCAGCTCCTGATGACCCTGGGCCATGGCTGGCAATCACTCCTTCCTGGTAGGAGGCGCTTCCCAGGGTTCTGCCCAACAGTCCCTCTTTTCCAGGGTGGTACTGTCCCCTCCTTCAACTTTCCTCCTGTCCTGTGGCTGTGTTTTGGCTATGGTCTTCCTCATGAGCTCTAGGCTAGTTTTGTCGAAGCAACAACCTAAGGTTGTTGAATGGATTCTCTTGGACATTGCTGAAACAGAATCCTTAGCACCTGACTTCTTACTCCTGTTATTATGTAGTTTTTTTTTAAGTTGTGGTAAAACACTACATCACATAACATTCACCTAAGTGTGTAGGCTGGCAACACTAGGCACACTGGCACTGTTGTTGTCCCGTGCTATTTTTAATCTGTTAGCTCCAGAGTCCTATGTCACCTGAATCAGAGTTCTCTGGTCTCCAGTGACTATGTGCAGGGCACCCCGAGAAGCCCTCTTCAAAACAGCAGGCACAGGGCCTAGCAGACACCGTGTGCCCACATCCCCTCCGCATGCCACTGCTCACTCTCCCCACCATTCCTGCTTTGCCCTCAGCAGCCTCTCTTTCAGCCTGACACTCACTCTTCTCCTACCTAGCCCAATACTCTATTGCATCCTCTCCGGAGACAGCTCCACATTCTCCTTTGCCTCTCAGGGAAGCAGTTTCCCAAACCCCTGGAAGTGGCACTTTACCCCCCTCTGCTGGCTTTTGGGCCAGGACAGTGCCTGTTACAGGAGTGAGCACCTCCAACCCATCCAGCAAGCCTTCTTCACATGCAGGTAGGGTTCTACCGAAGTCCCTGAACCCAGTATCTGCATCTAGATCCAAATCTCTTGCCAAGCCCAGCCATGGTCCGGCCACCTCCAGGGTGAGCTACTCCAACTGGCCATCTAGGCCTTCCTGATGTCAGGCCTTCCTGATGTCTGGTGGTGCAGAGCTGCAACTGGCAGCCTGCGAGTGCATGAGGGCCAGGGACAGCACGGCCCCAGAAGTAGGTACCACCTGTCTACTACAAAGGCAGGAGGAAGAGACCCTCTCCTTGTGACTTGTGCTTACCCTCCTTCTGGGATGGTGGCTGCTCCATGCCAGTGCTACTCTTCACTGGGTTTAGCTGAAGGCTGTCCCCTGTGATTCCAATTCATCTTGGTTCTCCTCTGTATTATCAGGCTCCTAATAGCAAGCTAGCTATGAGCTCTTATGGTCTGTTCCATTTGATGACAGCTGTCTTATCCCAAGGACCTCTGTGGATCTCTTACTGCTAATAATTTATCAATTAGAGTTTCCAGTTTTAAATAACAGAAGCTGATTCTGATGAATTTAACAAAAAAGCACTAATTAAATAAAATGGGGAAGCCATAGGCTCAATAAGGCTTGGCTAAAGTGGTGGCAGCCTTAGGCAGGCTGCCCACTGGGTTGTGCTGGGCTGCCTGGTAAGAATGGTCTTCCCCCTTGAGATGCCAGGGTGTTCTACCCCAAAGACCCCCAGGAGTGGGTCTGATGGCTGCCTACATGATGGCTGGGACCCCCACGGTCTCCTACCTTGTCTCTCCTCCCCCGGAGCACGTCTAGTGGGGCTGTGCCTGTGCTGAGGCTGAGCTCCACGTCACATTCCCAAGGAGTTCACACACTGGGGCGACCAAAACCCTGACCCATGGCAGCCACATGCTGTCTCAAGTTTTCTCTTCGCTGAGTGGATACTGCTCCTGAATCTAATTTCTCCTAGTTTCTTGGATGAGGCTTCCAGATGCCTCACTACTCTGTCCTCAATTCTGGTGTCCAGTTGGAAGTAACTTTGCAAATGAGGTCTTTTGAGCCCAGAGTACAATGGGATTATTTCTTCTGTGCCCCAGTCCCAAGCTTCCAGGAAGGCATCTGAAGGCATTCCAGGCAGCACCAGATGGGAGGAATCCACTGGCTAAATTACACTGTGGCTTACTGAATCTTCGGTCCTTTCCTGTCTCTGGCTGCTGAGTGAGCCCCCCCAACTCTCCCCCACCTACCGTGTCATAGGCAGGTTAACACACTGACACGGGACTACCTGAAATACCTGCAAGATGGAGTTCACGCTCTAATCCCTCTTACACCTGGCTGTTTCAGCCAGAAATTGCAAACTGGTGGGCTTTTGACCAATCCAGCCACACTTCTACCTTATTCAGCTAATATGGCGTTTGTTGGAGAACTGAACTGGGCTGGCTATTGAGAACCAGAGAGTTCGTATGAAACTCCTGGAAGGCAATGCCTCAGTTACTGCTCCTCTTGCAGGAATGCAACTCCCGACACCTGAAATGTAAACAAGGAAGGGTTTGCTCTGACTCCCGTTTTATTCCAAGGTCCACTGGCTCCAAGGCAGGACAGCATGGTGGAGGATACGACAGAGGAGAGCTACTCACTGCATGGAAGCCAGGACACAGAGGGAAGGGCGGATCTGGGAAGGAGATAAACCCTACCAGGCCAGGCCCCAGTGGTCCACCTCCTCTGACAGGCCTGCCTCCAAATGGAAAGTCAGCTAGAAGCCCCGTGGCTCCGCAGCTTTCCAGAGCCTCACTGTGAGTTCATGGAGCTCTTGGATGACACCCAGACACACCCATGAGTGGCGGAAGATGCTACCACCCTGCTGGTTTTCCTCAGGGCAGTGAGTGGTGGCTGGCTCATTGTAGTCCTCACCACACCCTGTGGGCTCAGCCAGCTACTACACTAAGTCAGGGCCCTGTCTGCTCTGTGCGTGTGGCCTGGGCGCAGGAATGTGGGGTGGGGTGCAGCAGGATTGTAGTGCAGGCAGGGAAGCAGGCAGGGTGGGCTGAGGGTGCAGAAGCAGACATGGGGCTCTGGGCTCCAGAAGGGCAACTGGAGACTCAGTCCTTTCTTGGGTGACCGTTAAGGTGCTGCCAGGTTTCACTCGGTCTGCTCCCTAATACACACTGAAGCACGATAACCGTGGGTCCACGTCAGTGCACAGCCCTGGTACCACAGCAGCAGGGCTCTACACTTCTAGGCTGTGGTGGCAATGGCAGAGCCTCTCCAGCAGCTGGTGCTGCTTGTGAACTTTGCCCGCTTCCTGCCATGTGGGTGGCAGCGCAGGCAGGAGTACTGGAGGCGAAGGTACTAGTCAACATCTAAGGAAGGGCGGAGCCCAGGCTTTGACTGTGTTAGTCCAGCCATCTTCTGGCCCTTCTCCACGGCCTCCTGGCTGTTCCTGAGCAGACCTCTGAGCGCCAAGTCTGCTCTGTGGACATCTGTGCTCTGGGCTGGATATTCTTCTCCACCGCCTGCTTTGAGCACAGAACTCATCAGAGAGCCTTTCCGTTGAGAGGTACCGCGCTGGAGGCCCGAAGCCGGATAGCTCAGCACGTGTGGAATGGAGGGGGGTACTGAGATCCCTAGTGGGCGTTGGGCGGAGACGCGCTTCAGCCCTTCACCACCATTCGCCTCTCTGTGCACCTGCCCAGCACGGAGGATTGTGCCTGGCTCACAGACGGATTCTACTCTCTGTTGTGCGACTCCACACATCATGTTTTCCGTTGGGAAAATTTAAGTCCAGGCACAAAGGTGAGTTTCACTTGCTCTTGCGTAAAATGAAGTTAAAAATTACTCTCACAGGGCTGTGCAGACGACTACATAGATTGCTGCACAGGCTCACTCCTGGCATCTGCACTACCACAAAAACTGTATTACTTTTTCCTTTATCTTGTAAATACTAGGCCTTGGAGATGTCTAACGGTCGCGCGGGCCGGCGTTGCGACTTCGAGGCGGCCACGAGGGGGCAGCGCGCGGCAGGGAATGCAGGCGAGGCCGGCACGCTCACGCCCTCTGACCCCAGCGCGTGCGTCTAGCGCCTGGGGGGGGGGATGCGTGTCCCCGGGGAACCCCCTCCCAGCAGGCGCTGTCACGTGCGCACCCCGCCTCAGGGGCCCGGAGCCGGCTCCTCCTGCAGTCGGAGGAGGAGGCCCAGGCATCGCCAGGTCCCCAGCCGCTTGCCAGTGCCCACAGAGTGCACAGTAGGGGCAGCGCCTCCGAACTTTCCCGCGCAGCACAGGGTCGGGGGAGCGGGCCGAGCTGCGTGCACAGAGCTCTGCTGGGCGCAGGAGGGAGCGCGCGCCCCCGCGCACGAGCCTGCGGCCCCGAAGGGCTCGCGTGGGGGCGCCGTGGGGGAGCGCGCACGCTGTCAGCAGAGGCGGGCGCCCGGCCGCCCGCCGGGCGCGCGGGGACCTTACCGAGTGCGGGGACAGGTGTCGCCGCTGGGCTGCGCCCGCCGAAGGAGAGCAAGAGGCGGAGGAGGAGTGGAGGCGGCGCCGCGCTCCCCACGCTGCTGGGGGTGCCCGGCCGTGCGCGTCCAGGGCCGGGCGGCAGCTAAGGCGCGGGTTGCGCGCGACGGGCACGGGCCGCGCGCGGACATGGATGAGTCCTCGCTGCTGGACCTGCTGGAGTGCGCCGTGTGCCTGGAGCGCCTGGACACCACCGCCAAGGTTCTGCCCTGCCAGCACACCTTCTGCCGCCGGTGCCTGGAGAGCATCGTGTGCTCGCGCCGCGAGCTGCGCTGCCCCGAGTGTCGCATCCTGGTGGGCTGCGGCGTGGATGAGCTGCCCGCCAACATCCTGCTCGTGCGCCTGCTAGACGGCCTGCGCTGTCGGCCCCGAGCGGGCTGCGGTCCTGGCCCTGGCCCTGGCCTGCCTGCGCCCCCTGGCCCCTCAGCGCCTCTAGGTGCTCCCTGCGGGCCTGCCGCGGGCAGAAGTGCCACAGCGGCAAAGGTAAGTACCTGCGCGGGAGGGGCTGTCGGGCTCTGCGCCTCTTCTCCAACTTTGCTTTTCTCTGGGGACCCCCAGCTCCCACCCCACACTGCGGGCAACCCTGGCCAGACACTGGCCACTTGGTCACTGGTGAGCTTCACTTTCCCTCCTTTGTTGAACCTGTTTCTTTACTCTTTTCATTTCCCCAGAGAGAACCTTTTCCCCCTGGTCTCTTGACTCTCCCCCTGCGCCCCTCAGCTGTTGGAGAAAAGTTGGAGCTTGATGTTTCCCTTATTCTGATGGCTGCAGGAGAGGGTGTGGGCTCCTGCCTCTGTGTCTGGTTGGGAGAAAAGGGGAGGGGCCCTGGGGAGAGCAGGCTACTCTGTTTTAGAGAGGGGGCAGCTATTCTGGGGGTCTTCAGCCCTTCTGGGCTTGGCGGGTCATCATAGAACCACTGACCTCCCTTGCACCTTTAGGCAGGGCTGCGGGCCGCGGGCTGTTGTTCAGACTGTGATTATTATTGTGCGTCTGCACTGGCCAGCTGTAGCTGCCTCGGTCTGTGCACAGACCTCTTTTGGAGAGCTTGGTGGTCCGGTTTCCAATCTTCTTGTTCGAGTCACCACACTCCCCCTGTCACCTGGGGTCACTCATGGGGTGCTGCTTGGAGTGGAATACACCTATTACACCTCTACCCTCTTTCCATGACTTCTCTGATGAAGAAGAGCACGTGTAAAGGTTGATGGAATGTATTCTTGGTATGCCAGAACTACTTGCTTTACAAGCACAGCCAGATCCTGCTACCCTGTCCATGCAGGGAGTTGGTGTTTACTGTGACATGCGAGGTCCTGAGGGGCTGGGAATCTCTGAACCATGCAGCCCCAGAAGGGCACCCGGGTGGGGAGCTGGTACCAGCTCCAGGCTTGGGTCCAAGGCCACACTTTCTGAATTGGGTTTTCCCCGGGGCCAGGAAAGAGTGGATGATCCAACCCAGAAGGTTAGGGAATATTCCCACTTGGGCTTGCTGCTGGAGGGGAGCTTGTTCCTTTTTGGTTTTCATTGTGATTGAATCTAGCTACGTGCTCCAGTTAGGGATCTCCAAACTTTTCTTTCCTGTTCTTGCTGCTTTTAATGTAAAAATTTTTATTTGTAAAATAAGCAGGTTGCTTCCTGCTTCAATAATTACGTGATTTTTTTTTTTTTTTGAGCTATGCTTCTGGTAAATGTTCTTTCTTTGTTTTTGAGACAGCATCATTCAGGCTGGCCTTGCACTCACTATTTAGTCTAGGTGGGCTTCAAACTCATGGTGGTTCTCCTGCCTCAGCTTCCCCAGTGCTGGAGTGTCAGATGTATGCCACCATGTTTGGCTTCTGGCAAATATCAAGGCCCTTTGGTGGCCATATATTTACAGAGGCCCTCCCTGTTGATCTTGGAGAAACTGTGTGTGGCCAGGAGGTGGCCTCTGCCATGCTGAAGGCCTAGGCTTGAGGTGCACAGCAGTGGACATTTACAAGAGTTAAAAACCAAGGTTAGTGACAGGGAACTGAGGTGTGGCCAGCTAGGGTTTGAGACTGTGGGTGGCTTTCTAAATGGGCACATGGTTTTGCTCATAACTTGCTGCACTTTGGGGAATCCTGAGAGCACGTGCTGTCTGTCTCTTTTTGCTCTGTCAGCTGGAGCAGTCCTCTGTCATCTTAAGCCGCCTCCCAGGGATTAGGTTCTGGTTGCTGGGGAGTCTGAATCAGCTGAATACTGTCATTGATTATTTGCAGGAGGAAAAATTGGTGGAAGAGGAGATTATAATACTGTCCGGCCCTTCACCCCAGATCCCTTGGTTACCCAAGAGTCCGGGGCACCGTGTCTCTGCCGGGCAGCAGTGCTAGGTCTAGGGCACCCTGTCAGGATGGGGAGGAGCATGGGCCTGAGTAGAGTCCCAGAAGGCACCTGCACTTCTGCAAGCAGGGACTTCAGGTGGACTTTGCATCTGGACAGGTGTCTGGCGTTTTCTTCACACTGTCTGTGCAGATACCTGCAAGCCGATCCTGGTGCCGCTGCTGAGTTAATAGACGGCTCTTGTCCCCTCACTCAGCAGGTCCCAGATTTGCCCTAGTGGGAGTGACCGTGAGCATGTAGGCTCCAGTTTTCCTGGTGGACACTCCTTAGACCCCGGGGTCCCGCCAGCTGGGATGTGTAAACTTGGTAGCTCTACAGAGACACAGATAGCTCTGGACATGTCTGCTGCGTGAATTTGGTTACACAGTGGGGTTTTTGTGTGCAAAATTTGTCACTTCTGTCTGGCTTCACTTGTATTGGTTTCACCTGGAGTCCTCCAGGCTGGTGGTCAGCATGGCTGCTTGGCTCCACTTTCATGGGGGTGAAGATGAGCCTGTTTGGGAGTCAGTGATGCCACCCTTGAACATTTCAGAGCGTGTTCACACCCCCCTTGCCTGGAACTGGCATTGCCAATCTCTGCCTTGACCTTTGCGGAACACAGTGTGTGTGGCTGCTAAGTCACCCTTGAGAGTTTTGTTTTCACGGTACTGCCAAGCACGGCAATTGCCAGTGTGTGCTAAGTTTCTCAGCCTAATTTACTTGTTAATTCTTTTCATGATTTTGGAAAAGAACCCCTTTAACACTCCAGAGCTGTGTTGAGGGAACTGTTTTAGGACAGTCTGTCTTGCTAAGAAAGATTTTGCAAGGGTGGAGAGTGCAGCTCAGTGGGGACCATTGGCTTAGCATGCAGGAGGCCCCGGCTTCCCTTCCAAGTACTGCAGCAGACAAGAAAGGACACTGCTGCAGGGTTTGGTGGCTCCATGTCAAGTAACTCAGAGGTTGCTTTTTAGTGTGGAAGATTTAATATGGACCCAGACATAAGACAGTTCCAATTCTCTTATGATGTTTGATTTTCAGCACTCCTTGCCTGTGTCCAGGCACATGCAGAACTTACTGAGTGGCTCTGGTGGGCCAGATCTTCTGCCCTTGGGAGCCCTGTGCGCACAGCCTGACCTTAGCCCAGGCTCTGTAAGGTTTCAAGGATGGACAGTTACACACATCAGGGAACTAAAGAAAGTGTGGGTGCTGCCTTTGGTAAATGTAGCCTTTAGACCCTGCTTTGTTTGAATTGGGGTTGTTTTCTTCCCTTTGTGATACTAGGAAGGAATCCAGGGTTTGCATGAGCCAGGCTGGTGCCCACCACTGAGCCACACACACCAGAGTATCCTGAGGTTCATGGGATACGCTTAGATCAGGCCCAGAAATCTCTTCTGTATCCTTCAGACCGTGGAACTAGGGCCTGACCGTGGAAAAGGTGAGCCACATTATGTGTGGTGGGTACGGCATTGTACACACACTCATGTATGTGGTGCTTTGACCTTTGCACGCAGGGCTCAGGGCCTTGAGTCCAGGTTGTGAGGTGCAAACATCAAGCCACAGCTAGCACCGACAGATGCCTGTTTCTTTCCTTCTTGTGGAGCAGGAGGTCAGAGACTGCCAGGGAGTTCTGAGTGGTGCATCCTTCTGGATCGTAGGTAGTGCCTCCCCTGCTGTGTTTTATGTTCTTGTTCACACCTGATTTGGCCGTTTTGAAGCAACCTGCCTTGGTTGAGTCTTTCTGAGGAGCCATCTCTGTCTTCTAAGGGCAATATTTTCTTTCTTTGCACGCAGCTTCCTCAGTTACATAATGTTTAATGAAAGTATATTTTTAATGTTAGGAGGACAACTTGCATAAACATGATTGGAACAAGGAGGATTGGTGCCTGGTGAGGGCGGTGCCTTGGCATTGTGAGGGAACATCCCATCCACGAGGTGCTGAGGGCACTGCCTGGGCCAGCTGCTCACTGACTGTGGCCCAGGTGGAGGTATAGTGGTGTCTGGAAGCAGATGGCTCTGTGCTTTGATGGTGACAGTTGGGATCGTCCCTGAGCAGCTGTAGAGCACGTGCTCCAGAATGCTGGAAGTGCCCTTGTGTGGAGCTAGCGGTGTCCTGGTGTGAGTGGGTTGGGACCATGCTGAGGTCTCTGCAGGTCCAGGAGCCCGGAGTGAGCTAGGCGGGGTGTGACCTGCATCTGTGCTGCTTGCCGTGTGACTGGTCTTGGGCATGGAGGCTGTGGGGAAAGTCTAGCAGTAGGGGCTAGGTGGCTCGCAGGGTTGGCAGTGCTGTGACAGTGGAGCCATAGCATGTCCTTTCCAGAAGGCCCCACTGTGTGGAGACAGTACCTTTGGGCTTACAGCCGCACCACGAGTCATGCCCAAGGCTGCAGAAGCCCAGGGCCCACAGCAAGGGTTGTGTCTGTGTGGTTGTGATGCAGCCCTGTAGACTTGCATGTCTTTGCACACGCATGGTGTGGTGTGGGAGCATGGGGATGTGGGTCGTCCCCACGTGTGTGTTGGCCTGTATTGGGGGCAGGATCTCAGGTGGTTACAAGTGTTCTAGCCAAGTGGCTGAGCCTGCTTCACCTGCTCAATTGCTCAGGATTTGTCTTTGTTGTCGGAGGCAGTGCTCCTGATCTTCTGAGCGCTGTTACAGTGAAAAGCAAAGGTGCTCAGGACGCAGTAGGGTCAGGAGCTGCTGCTGTAGGGTGGCTGCTCTCGCCAGGCCCCTCTGGCCCGCAGCCCCCTCCTCAGTCTGCAGGCCCCTCACTTGCTGCAGCCCTGGGAGCCCAGCTGCTCTCAGGATGGGTCAGAATAGAATTCCCCTGGGGCTTTCTTTGGGAAGCTGCAGGCCTGGGGAGCACAGATGCTCTGTGCAGGACCATGGCCAGCTCCTGTGAGCTTCATGGCAGCCTGTGGCGGGTGAGACGTGCTCGCTGTCCAGGTTGTAGTGGGCGTTAACTGACTCTCAGAACGGAGTGTCGAGCCAGAGATGGTGTGATGTGTGGTGATCCACCTTGCTGCACTGACATGGGTGTCCCTTGGCCACCAGTGAGGCTTTGGGGCACAGGTGGCAGGTCAGTGGCCCCTGCAGGTGCTGCCTCCTTCCAGCTCTGCTTGGGCCCCAAGGGCCAAGGGTGGTCAGATGCCGTTGT